ATTACAAGTTTCGCGCAAAGAAAACTACTTCAGGCCCGATTCAGAGAATGCCTGTTCAATAAAAAAACGCTGTTTTTGAACAATTATACAATAAAATCGAAAAAAAATGAGATACTGACTGTTATAACTAACAAATTTGCACTCTAACATTTCCAGGAGAATCGCTTTCTTCTCTTCGATACAGTCTCAACTCTTCCTTTCGCTCATTGCAAGATTTCCGAATTTCTTCTTTGAGATTGTAGATAACAATTTAAAGGAAACTGAAAGTGAAATAAGCACTCAATCTTCCTTTTTGTCGATTGAGAAAAGCATGCTCAATTTTTTAATACCGGATCAAGGCTTTAACCAGCCTCAGTACATTCCCAAAGAATTAAAGAGCATGTACGTCAAATGATTTTCGAGGACAGCGCGCATACCCAACAAACCCTTTTGTAATATCTGAAGCTACTGAAAGTAGAACATTTCAAGAAAATGACTCTAGTTATTTGAAGAAAAATTTCAAATAAAAAGACTGATTACCATTGCTACAATGTTTGGCTACTTTTAAACTAAGCTTGTTCGCATTTTATAAAACTGTTTGTACTGCAATAATCTTTTACATAGTTAACTTTTTTCTTTAATTGCTAAGCGCTAAAAAAATTTGTGTACTGCGAAGATTTTGACAATTCAGAAACCAGTTCCGAACATTTGTATCAAAACTATTTTTCACAGAGATTCTTATGGATTAAAAAATATGAGATTTTCAGAATTTATTATCCAATTTTTTTTCGTCTCTTGATATTTTTGAATAAGAAATTTTTTAGTAGTCCTATAGTCCGTAGTATGATATAATGACCTTCAAAAAACTTCAGCTCCAGTAAATGAGTTGAGATTAACTTTCTTTGTGAATTCGATTTTATACCAAAGTAAATACCCACTGGTTGAACTGCATAGACCGAAAAAGCCAATCATATGATTCCCTAACCGGCCTATTAAAACATACTAGTCATACATATCTCATGCTAAAATGGTGTCATCCTTTTTTGTGATTTTTTTGCTTTGACGTTAAAGTTGGTTAAAGTTGGCGTTTGTTCGTTTAAATTGGCGTAAAATTCGGTGGGGAAAAATGTTTGTAGAAAAAACAAATCGTGCAATTTCCATATTGTGTGCATAACAATAATGTAGTCCTGGATACAAGCAAAAAATTGAATATTTTTTTAAAAAAGCTTAATAATCCTATTTGTGTGCATGTTTGCTTTAATCAATGCCTGATTAATTAAAACTTAAAATTTTAAACATGATCACCTTTCAAAATTTTTGGCAAAAATGAAAGTTTTATACTTTGATTACATCATTTGTGTAGGACATTTTAAAGACAGTGTAGATCATTTCCATTGCATTGTAAATGCAAGACATTCAATCTTTTGATGAGAACTATTCATAGCAATTTTCTTTAATTATGAAATTACCTGAAAAGTTTGTTTAAAATAATTGTATTGCTAACTTATTTGGTCAACCCTGGGCCATGTACAACAACACTTTAGCAATTCTCTTGTGATGATTTCCAACTTTTCATTGAACATTTTTCCCGCCTAAATAAAATCATAAATAATCACATAGGCAAGGCGGAGCTTCGAGGTGAAGCGAAGGTTTGCAATCTTTGCTATGCAAACACACATTGCGCTATACGATAGTGAATGAAAAAAAAGTAAAAAAAATGAAAAATTAAATCGAAAAAATTAGTTGAAAAAATAATTTGAAAGGTTAAAAAATACAGCTGCAAAAATTTCAGGGTTATATATGATAAAAATCGAAAACAGCTTTAAATTTTGGCTCGAAACCTGAAGAGGCGACAACAAAACTGTTGTCATGCAATTTCATAAAATGTTTTACGTTTTCAAGACCCATCCAATGTAAAACACGCAAGCAATAGTTTTGCCCTCGAAGTTATGCATTACAAGTTGATTAAGCCGATATTGATTAGACTTTACAAATAACTAAATTTTCAGTTATGATTAAAAAAACTGTTCAAAGTGGAACAAAACCCTTTAATCTTTTTGAATGATTTAAAAATTAAGTTTAGAAAAAAGTACCACTAAAAAAATTGTTTTCAAAAAAAACATTGTAAATGAGCCGACAGAAAATAGGACCAAAACCACAAAAAAACCGAAAAAAATTTCCAGAACTCATTTTGAAAAAATAATTACTACCTGAAACGGGCTTTACCTAAGTACTACTGAAATGATAGCAGTCCTATTTTAATTTTTAGGAAATTAAGCATGTCACAAGTGATATATATCATTCCTCCTACATTGAATATTCTGTGAACAAAGTTATATTAAAAAAACGTTCAGAACCCAATTGCAATAAACAATTAGAAATAGCGCATCGCAAACAACTTTACCCGAAATGGTTTATGCTAGCAAATCACATTCTTACTAATTTAACAAAAACCAATTTGGTTTCGCTGCCATCTTATGCAATTGACCTAACATAACCGTTTCAAAGCCCAACAATTAAACCTTCAAAGGTATTCCTTCTGTTTTTTTTTCATAGTGAGTTTTCTATAGTGAGTAGGAGTCATTGTGAGTACAACTCATTTTTTCATAGTGATTACAACACATTTTCTTTTCTTTCAACTTCACTTATTGCAAACACACAGAATCATCTGTATCAAGCTAAACAAACTTGTCCTCATCAAGAAGTATCGGTATAATGTAATAATGATTGGTTGTTATCAAACCATATCGTTTTCCTCTTTTCTTATAACTTTCCCTTGTTCGAAAAGCCGTTTTTTAGTTTTATGTGCGACCAAAAAAAAACATTTTGTGACTTTGCGCAACTCAAAAAAGAATATGTTGCAATTTTGCTCGACCTAGATGATTTGCGCGACTTTGCGCGACCCGGGTCGGGAATTGCAAATGAGTTTGCAAATGTCTGTTGTGACTATATTTGACCGATGAAAAATGTTTTGACGAAGTCTGACCAAAGAAACACATTTCGATTTAGTTCGAAAAAAAATTTCCCGGCCGAGAAGGATTTCAACCGATACAATTGATTTCGACTGTGTTCGAATTTCGGTTTTTTCGACCGAGAAGCGTTTCAAATAAAAAAAGTAATTTCGAATGTCTTTGACATATGATTGCCCTGATATACGAGCAGTCTTGTTTTATTTTAAGACCAAACAAATAGTCAGCGGAACCGCTCGTTACAGAGCGCTTACGTAGCAGTACTTAGGCAACCGGGTGTTCAGACACTGTATTAACCAATCAGAATCGAGACAAGGGAGAAATAAATTTCATATCTTCTTTTGTCTCGATTCTGATTGGTTAATACAGTGTCTGAACACCCGGTTGCCTAAGTACTGCTACGTAAGCGCTCTGTAACGAGCGGTTCCGCTGACTATTTGTTTGGTCTTAAAATAAAACAAGACTGCTCGTATATCAGGGCAAAGCCCTGAATGTCCTGAATGTCCCTTAATTCATATCGAACAGTTTTTGTGAAAAGAAAAACATGAAAACCTCTAAAATTTGGACAAAATCAAAATGTAAAATTTTGAGTGGTACAACGAATTAGCTAGCCTCATTTCAATTTGGAGCAATTTTGTTGTGCGAGATAATTCGCCACGCATAAACAATTCGCTTTAAGCTCTCAGCAATACGAATCTTCAAGGCGCGCATAATTTAGTCCAGATCATGGCCAATTTGTCAATTTTCAAACTTCCAGAATTTTACAAAAAATAATCGGAAGTAAAATACTTTTTTACATTTGAGCTTAAGAAGTCAATATCTTCAATGGGGTATAAAAAAATTTTGTCGAAACTATTATTTCGATCGGCAAAAATTGACTGAATGAAAAAACCACACCGAGAATAACTGTTCTGCTTTCTTCGAAAGTCGGAAAAACAGTTTGGAAAACAATACGGTCAATTTCATATTTCGAATTAATTTTATTTTACGAGTTTGTGGTATAATCAGAAAGGATAGTTTATTAAATTAGCCCCTATAAGGAAATACTGCTGCTCCATCTTTGGATATCAGCTTACCGCCTTATTTTGAGATCGTTTCGACTGTGGAATTCGTAAAAACTCTAAGTTTTTGAGCAAAAAATATCACCATTGACTCACCATGAAAAAAAAATAATATACCAACTTCATTCCACAATCTATACGTAAGACAGCATTAATTTTTACCAATTGGTTGACGCGCGCCAAGATTTTTGTTGAAAAACTAGACATTTCCACACAAAATCCAAAATTCTTACCATTCTCTTACCATCACACAAACGATGAAACCTTACCAATTCTATTACCTATCTTAGTACAATGGGAAACAGATTTCCTATCTTAATACATAGCTTGCAGAACTCATGTTTTATCCCCTATCTCAATACATGAGGTCTGCAAGGACCCACCCACCCCCTTCCCCACTTCAGCTCACTATTTTACTACTGACATTCTTGAGAGAAAAATGAGCACCCGAAAAAAATAAAGAATCGCGTCGCCATTACCAGTAAACTTTCACACTGTATGGCTGGCGTATCTAAAACAGTTGTTTTTGAAAACTTCTTTAACTAATGGGTTTTTCTTTCTTGCGGATATGCAAGAGTTTTTTTCTTATTATTCCTGAGATAAAAAGGAAAACCCAAAATAAAATATAGAATCACCTCAACATTAGAACTAAATTTTCATACTATTTGGCTGGCGTAACTAAAACAGTTGTTTTTTAAAAAAATATCTTTAATTAATTAATGAGTTTTTCTTTCTCGCAAATACGCCAAAAAAAATTATTATTCCTGAGACAAAAAAGGAAAAAGGGAAATGAAGTATAGAATAGCGTTCTATTTGTCTCACGTATCTAAAGCAATTTGTTTTCAAAACATCTTTCAATAATTAATGAACTTTTCTTTCTCTCAAATGTGCAAAAATTGATTTTTTCTTTTATTCCTGAGAGAAAAGTGAAAAACCGAAAGAAAAATAAAAAAGCGCATCATCATCACAATTTAATTTTTATGCAGTAAAGGCTGACGAATCCAAAACAGTTGTTTTTGAATACATCAATTGATAAATAATTAACCCTTCTATTTCTCATTAACCGAAAAAAAGTTAAATTCTTTTCGCTCATCGGTCAGTTTAGCACTATATTGATAATTTCGGCTTTATGTAAAAGAAGATTGAAAACTTAAAATCAACTGGACAAATTCTCGAAGATGGTAGTTTCTAAAGGATTCAAAATTTTGATGTTTGCAATAACTTTTGCTTCTTGGAGCCAGCAAGAAAGTGCAACGAGGTTCGGTCTGTATCGGAAACTTTATGGAACTTTGCTGAAAACAGAGTTTATACTCAGGCAAATAAAAAAAATTAATATACAGAAATGCATTCAAATGTGCTACTTTGACAAAAAATGCGTAAGTTTTGCGTACGGAAACTTCATATGCGTTCTTTACTCAACAGACCCAAGAGCACAACTGGACGAAAGTTCTCTTATTAGATCAAGTAATTCGCCACTGACTATGTATATAATATCATCTGATAATGCAATACCGTGCAATATAGGCAACCTTGCGGCGTATTCTAATTCGGATTTGGAAGAATGCGGATTTGATGAAAAAACTACTGATTCAAATTGCGAAGGTGAATGGTCAAGCTGGAATTTGCGTTTGGACACAACCTGCAACGAAAACGCAAAAGTTTTCCGATGGAGAAAACACTCTAGAAACTGCACGGAGCCTCTATTTGGAGGAAGAACTTGGGCTTGCTTGGAGAAATGGTCGACAGTTCCGTTGTTGTTGCAAGATTCGAAGGCGACCTTCCACGAAGCGAAAACGGTTTGTGGTAATCTAGGCAAAGAGCTGTTCACAGGTGCAGGCAAAACTCAATCAATTATTTCTAATTGAGAAATACAATAAAAAGTCAACCAATGACCAATTTTTTTAATAGGTCAAAGTAACAGATTGCAGTGCAAGTAAGGTATATACTTTTTAATGAAAAGTTTACTTTTCAAATCTTAATGAAGGTAATCAGATAATCACATGCTTTTTAAATATTTATACGCAAGAGATAACTAGATGTAGTTTAAACTAATATTATAATTGTGTATCATATTAAAGTGCTTTCAGTCTCGGGTCGGGTTTCAAACAAAAGTTTTGATTTTCGCGCTACTTACAATGAATTTAGTGATGAGATGATGAAATTTATTTCCCAATTACGATACTGCTTGCGATTCCTCGTTTGAAAACACACACACCCTCATATATATGTATATATATATGTATATATGAGGGTGTGTGTGTTTTCAAACGAGGAATCGCAAGCAGTATCGTAATTGGGAAATAAGTTTCATCATCTCATCACTAAATTCATTGTAAATAGCGCGAAAATCAAAACTTTTGTTTGAAACCCGACCCGAGACTGAAAGCACTTTAATATGATACACAATTATAATATTAGTTTAAACTACACCTTGTTATCTCTTGCTTCCACACAGAAGCTAGTTGTCTAGCTGCTTATTTAAAGTTACAACATCAAACCAGCGTCAATAACAGATGCACCATTAAGACAGCACAGAGAACATTCGTTTTCAAATGTCTCCTTGAATTCATACTGCTTCGCTCCAATGGTTCTTTTGGTTCAAGAAATGTTGAATATAGATCTCCCATGTCTTCTCCTTTCTTTTTACTCATTTTGCTTCCTCGGGTATTGTTTTAATCCCATAAACTATGAAATATCAGAAACAAATTCTCCTACAAAACTAGACAACTGTAAAAAAAAGTTCGATGATTAAAAATTTTCCAAAACAAACTGAAGCAAACATTAATGACTGAAAAAAATCAGCTGAATAAGATAAAATTTGTCAGATAAATTGATACAGACGGAAGAATTTGCTTGCATAGACATTACGAGGCCAAACTGGGCATTCTGTGCAATGTAAGCGGATTCCGCAACAGGCCAAAATCAGATTTGTCGCGGAATCCGCAACATTGCTACGTTTCTTTTTGATCTTCTTTGCTGTTTTGGATTCCACAAACAAATACCAAAAACACTGTACCGTTCAATGTTGCTCAAAAAAGATGCGAAGTTGTGGAATCCGCAACCGTATTTGCGGAATCCAGAACACTTTGTGGAATCCACAAGCAAATAAAAGACATGTGTATGATTGAATTGAGCTGTTGCGCAATCCGCAAATGTAAGCGGAATCCGCAAACTGTAAGTGGAATCCGCATATTGTAAGTGGAACACGCAAAAAGTAAACTAAATCCGCATTTTGTTTGCGGATTCAGTTTACATATATGTATGTGTAGTTCTGTGCATTCTCAGCATTCTGTGCATTTGAGACAGGACAGTTCCTTAAGAGTAAGACATTCAGAGCTCTAAATTTGTTTAATAATTGTGAGTTAGCTATTCAGAATTATTTGAATAGCTAACTCATGATTTCACACTGTTATCTCATCCTAAATACTATCTTCATAAAGTGAATTCACGCTCCCAAATACTGAATCTCAAATACTGAATCCCAAATAATGACATAATTCGGCGATATGTCAATCCAATAATGAATTAACCGAATTACCGAATTAACCCAATGAATTTATTCGGTGCTGTGTTTCCAAAACAATGATCCCAAAAACTGCTTGCAAATACTTAAGTGTGACATCCGTCGATTTAGTTAACCTGTGTTTTAAGATTTGTTCGCGAATTCCACTGACAATGTTAAGTCCTTGCTTTTGAATTCCGCAAGTGCATATGCAAGTTCAGTAACAAACAAGTTTCTGAATTCCACTTTCATTTGCGGATTCCACTTACATCTTGCAGAACGCACTTACAGTTGTTGAATCCAGAACAACTTGCAATAAATGTTTGTTGCGGAATCGGCAACAAATTAAATGTGCCGACCAAATTTACGTTACAAGTTTATGTACGCGGAATCCACGTAATTCTTGTAAGTGGAATACACTTAATTTTTGGAACTTGTTTAAATACTTGTCTCTAGAATCCAGGACCATACAGACACAAAATTGTGCACCCATCCAGTGCACAGTTGGGCCTCGTAATGGATAAATTTTCGAACATTAGGTCTAATGGATCCCCAGAAGAACCTATTTCTATGTGATGGTTTTTGTTTATAATTTTCTTGAGTTTGTAATTAGCATTTGAATTACTCTGAGCTTTATTTGAGATAAAATTGCAAGTTAAATTAACAGTTTTCCTTGCCTACATTTTTCCCAACGAGAAAAAAACGGAAACGAAACAGAAAATAAATTATTGAAATCCAAAACTAGGTTAAACAACTATCGGTAAGCAATACAAGAGTCACAAAATGTTTTCACTAGGCCATACTTTTCGGCGGCTGAACAACTATCGGCAAGAGTTAGAAAACAATAGCAACAAGAAGCAACTATTATATGAAGTGATTTCAATTTTACGGTTCAGAAAATAAACAACTTATCGTCAAATAACGGAACCAATCAACTCATCAATCAACCGACCAGAATAAGAATTACCTGCGATATTCTTTTAGACCAAACAATAGTTAGAGACGTTGATGTTATACTCGCCTATACGCTTGAAAACCAAACCTTCTTTGATCATTACCCAATCTTTTTAGAGCTATATACCACAAACACCAGAGTGACATTGTCAAAACGTATCGTGATATCACTTATCGGCAAATGGGTGATGAGTTTAATTAGGCTTTAGCGCATGAATTACAAGATTACGAAACACTTGACACAACAATCCGATTGATAATCTATTTAAGGAACTTCAGTCGAAATCCCATAGCGTTTTAGACAACTAAGCACCATTGAAAACATCCGAAACAAAAGAACGGAAAATTAAGTGCCAATAGCTGACTAATTATATAAAAAAATTAGTTGCAAAGTGTAACAGGCTTCAAAAAGTCTTGTCTAAAAACAAATTACGACAGGACAAAATTACGCTTCAAAGTTTCCCGAAGTAGAACTGTATTGAAATTAAGAAAAGTAAGAAAAACTATAACTATGATGGAATAATGAAATTTATTGGTGACTCAAGGCAGATATATGTGCTTTTAAATGCAACTAAAGGATAAATAAATACCTCCAAAATAGATCGTTTCAGTAACATAAAACATGGTGAGTCATTCACTGATGAGCTTGCTATTGCAAATGAGCTTTAAATTTTTTTCCTTGATTGGAAACATACAAAACCTTGGATTTGATCAAGTTTTCATCACACCGAGTTTTTGCATGCGTATTTATCCTGTCTCAGAATTGGAAAACCACACTATTCTGCCTAAGGTGCAAAATAAAACTTCCTCTAGTGTTGATGGAAAAAATAATTTCATTGTTGAATCCAGCTCGTTCGCGATTGTTCCTGTTTTAAAGCCTCTGACTGAATTGTCTTCGGAATCTCGAAATTTTTTATCATATCTTGCGCAGGCGGTTGTTTGTCTTTTATATAAGGATGGATCTAAAATTGCAATCAGCAATTAAAACCAATATCAGTACTTATAACATGGAGCAAGGTGTTTGAGCGAGAAATGTAAAACAGAGCATAAAATAACTTGGAAATTAATATTTTTTATTTAAAATCAAACAATTTGGTTTCCAAAAAAGTCACAGCACTGTTGGAGCATTGGGGAAAAAAATGAAAAAGTTTGCTTGGATTTAGTCAAATCGGTCAAAAGAACAGTAATTCTCGATTTTAAAGAAGTTTTCGACAACCCTGGTTACCAAAATTTGTTTTGAAAATTAGAAATGTATAGTGTAATTGGAAATAGCCTGAACTGATTAAACAGCAACTTGAAGCATCGGAAACAAGTAGAAATTGGCACCTCACATTCAACTAGGCGGAGTAAAAAGTGTCGCGTTCTCAAAGTTCTGTTATAGGCCCACTTTTGTTTCTGGTAAAAATAAACGAACTTCCAAAAGCCAGCTCCTTAATTGTCGTTCCTTTAAAAGCAGCCGAAACCAACATTTCTATTTTATACTGCTTAGATGAAAACTTCAATAAAAACTTAGAAGCTATCAGCAAACGGTTTATAATCAATAAAAATGTCCCTGAACACACCCTTAAAATGTTCATCTTGCAAATATCTTAGTGTATAATTAGAAACCGTAATGTATAATTAGTGTATAATTAGCGTATAATTAGAATATAGTTATCCTTCTATATTCATATTGTTTTCGTTCGAACTAAGCTTAGAAAACAATGTGGCCTTGTCTGGAAATTAGGATCATTATGTTCCGAAAACTTTTTAACACAACAAATATAGCTCTAACATTAAACCAAAAGTGCATTAAGGTAATCTAGTGTAGGTAAACTATTATACAAATCATTTGCCATTTTTGATGATACAAAAAATATATTTCGGTCGATTTATTCTTAGAGAAATTTTGAAAGCATGCGAAATGCTTTCCTTGATGAGTTCAACGAACTCCAAATAAATGATATTTTAACACTGGTTCCGCAATTAGTCTCAGGGTTGCATTCGGAAATATTTTAGTGAGTTTTTCAAATTCGATGAGCTATCGTACAATACTAGAAGCACAACTTTAGATTTTATGAAAATACTTAATCTAAAAGCAAGTTTCAACGAGCGTCACTTAGTTACGGGGAAAAAAGCTTCATAATTGCTTCGAGAACATTAAATTCTTCCCACCAGTTTTGCTAGATTTTCTCAGACCAATGTTCACAACAGATTGCTCACTAAAAGCGCAATTTATTGAGAATGAGCAATAAACATCCGAACAATATTGTTTTTTTTTCTACTGATTTTTATTTCAACTAAACTGATATTTCAAAAAAGTATAGGTCTGCTGCCAAAATGTTCAAATTTTGGATGTTGGTTTTCAAATTGCTTTTGGCGTTTGAAAGCCCCGACGTGGACTTGTTCAATGGTTACTGCCTCATGGGCTCAGATAGCTGTCCACTGACTCTCAAGCCCGTATTCAATGATTTTGATGTCGTGGGCGCTCTAGGGGAGGAGACAACGTTAGTAGAAGCTGTAACAGCTATGTGAACAAGTTCAAATTTTTTCCAATTGAATTTGATTGAAGGTGAATACGACTTGCGAGTTTTCAATTTTTTTTTTTCGGCAAAAGAAAATTTTTTGTACATTTTAAATCCGTTTTCTATACAACAGAGAAGTTAATGTCGTTCAAATTCAACCAATTTTTGTTCATTAGATGAACAACTTGTTGAGATGGTGCCACATACCCTTTTTATGTATTTTTTTTTCGGTACTTGTAAGATCTTTTTTCTTCAGCTGTTGCATTCAGGCTTGATTATTTTTGTATCTAAGCTTTCTTATCTGTTGTATCTTAATTGGCTTCAAATAATTTCAGGGCAGCACTTGGCAACTCTAATGGGTTCGTTAGCCGTTTGCTTTTTATTTTTGATGTGTTTAGAGTTAATTCATCTGATGAAAAAATAAGTGACATGGAGAAATTAATTCTTCTTCTTCTTCTAAGCGTTGCAAGAATCGCAATTTGTCGTTACATTTGTCAATAACTTTCTAGTTTTTTTAACTCTCCAGAGAGACCATTAGGACTTTCTTTTAGAACATTTTGAAGTAATCTAAAAATATAGTCAAAAATGAAACAGTATTGCCCTCTATGGTCACTTTATGAAAAATTTCGCCCAAAATTAGCTCTTTTTTTTCGGGCGCTCTCCATCAAAGTTAGCTTAATTTGAGGCCGAAAGCCTCCAGAAAAAATTTAGAATCGTCAGCCAAAAATGTATTAAGAAACATAAAAAAGACCAGGGGTACGCTTTGGGTGATGAGGATGAAGAAATCAAAGCAAAAGAAAAATTATCTGCCCCCACAAACCCCTCGACCCTCCGCCTTAATCCACTCCTAGTCTGAAACACACATTTGCATATACAATTTTACATATTATATGAACTAGTTAATTTTGAATTAATAGAAACGTAGTTGATTTTACTTAAACTTTCATCTCACAAAAACGATATATTGCTAGTGTTACTGACGTTCTTTTTCTACTTCAAGAAAAAATCTGCGACCTTAAATACTGCTGGCAATGCCGTCAGATGTGTTGTGTTTTAGAATTGGTCGTGCTAGTGCCAAAAAAAAATTTTAGAGATTTTTTTTTCATAGGCTTGGTTGTAACATGATTGAGTTTTGATCAGGCTTGTATTGGATCTACGAGCAAACGTTGACCTCTGAACTGTCGGGCCTTTTTTGGACGGGGTTCAAGCGATTCGAGATGTTGGAAGAATTTCAAGATGAGAATGGAGAACAATTTTTGAAAGAACCCTGCTCGAACGTTTGGGTTGGACGCGAGCCCACTTTTGGTGCCGGCGAAAAATATGTTCTTTTCAGGTGAGTAGATTGCAACAAATTCTCCTGTCCCAAAAAGTTGAAAATATTTTTTTGCTATAATAGGATATACAAAATATGCTCCTAATCAGCTTGAAAATTAGTTTTTTCATTTCAAAACATAGTCTCATTCCAAATAAATTTTGTTTCACAATCTTTCCAAATATTTCTTGGTTTTTAGAATTGATTAAAAATGAAATTTAGCAAGGTTTATGCTTACAAAAAGTGTCTTGTATTTTCGCAGTGGGTTAAGTTTTTTTGTATGAAGGGGATAAGCGACTGATGAAATATATATCGCCGACTCTTTTAGTTTGAACAATGGCTGGACAGATGGCCTCCATGATTACCGAATAACGCCTTCAGCAAGAGTGGTGTGTGACAACTGGATTTTAGACGAAACCTTTAGCGCCAATACGTGCAAAGATGGCTACTTCTCACTTGTTTGAAAAATTCGGATGGTTTTGATCTATAATATAGCCCAAAATAAAAGCAGCTGTTTTTTTTTAATTTATGGAGAACAAATCATATTTCAATAGTATTAACCAAACTTTTCAAGTTAAAAAAAATCAGCAAAGGTGGGCTATATAACCTTAAAAAACGCTGCCCGCTATATATTTGCAAAAAAAACTAGGATGGCCGGTTAATGTACAAGTACAATGTTCTGACCAGAATGTTCCAGGATATTACAGAATCCGACCAGTCTTAAAAAATTACAAAAAAAAACTTTTTTTTCCAGCTAATGTCAATTTTTTGGCTTTGTGTGATAAACGAAACTGAGCGACAAAGTAGAGCTTAGGATTTTTTGTCAGTCATGTAAAATAACAAGAAAAACAAAAAAAAATAAAAAAAAAAAATCTTTTTTTTTTCTTCAATTTTTCAAACTTTTTCCCAATTTTTGAAGTTTTTGATTCCTAGATGAAGTTAAAAACTCCATAAACTATATTCATTAGAGTAAAACTAAATTTTCAAGGATTAAGAACATAAAATAAGCTGTAAGCCTGCTCACTCGCTCGACATTAGACAAAAAATCAACAACTTTAAACTGGTTTTTCTGGACACTGGTAAATTTTTTAATGTGTTTCGAACCACGACTGAAAGGGCTTTAATATGATATATCATTTAACCCAGTCCAATTTTTATTTGTGGCAGCTGGTTTGGCGTAGAAAACAAAAAACTAAATCAATCGAAAACAAAACTCCTCCCTATTTTAATGGTCGGAACATTAACTTTGCCTATAATCAAATAATTCATTCAATTCAACCATTTAAATCAACTAATTCATTCTAACTCTTTCAACTCAATTTTTCAATGCGACTAATATATTCTGTTCAACCTAACTCTTTCAATTCACTGACTTCTAGGAAAGTTTGTCATCCAAAAATATGGGAAAATTTGTCTTTTATCGAATAATTTTTTTTTTCTTCTGAGCTCTCCTTAAATGTCGTATAAAGACCCTATTTTGCCAATTTTGAGGCAACTGTTTTTGAAAAAGGACAAAAATGATTGAGTAGAGTACTTTTAGAAGATTTGAGAAAACTTCATATTTGAACAGTTTTGATAACCATGATTGAGGAAGGGAAGAAGAGGGGGTCGCGATTGGTACAATACTCGGCGCGCTCCGCACGCTACTGAAATCAATGATGAATTGTATACGAATATTAAGTCTGATAGTTTTGTGACAGGAGTGCAAATGGAGCTCTTAACGACAGAGTACAAAAACAATGAGAGTTCAATTTTGTCTGAAACAGAACAAAAAAACGTATTTCCTGGTTATTGTCAATTTAAATTTTTTTTCTACACAAAGTGCAACTTCAAAAAAAAACAAGCAAAATGATCAAAATCCTATAATAGAGATTCCATTATGTTGTCTGAAATAGTAAAAAATTAAAATCCTCCTAATTTCCGTGACTTAAATAATCATGCCTACAAGCTAATTAAAGAGCTGCGAGCTTTGATTTATTGTAAATTGAAATAAGTTAAGTTGGAAAAAACACCTATATGTTCAACTGCTTTGTTTTCTACTCACAAAATTCAGGATAAAAATTTAAGCAATCAATTTATTAAGTGCGTTGTATCTCAGAAGACTCAGATAAATTTAAAACCAGGACTTAATTCGTAGATAAAGATATGTAAATACGTAAGGTATTTAAACCGTGTCAAGACTGAAGAACTTATATCGACTTCAATCTTAATCATGTCACATAAGTTGACAAAGAGTAAAAAGAAAGTTAAGAACTAACTTAACCGCGGTGTGGCAGATCAAAAACGACCTTGAACTCCAAGCTGAAACAAATGACTGAGATAAGCATGGCATAATAGTGTGCTCGGAATTGGTTCTGTACCACATTTCCCCCTCTAGAGGAAATTCTTATAGATCCTATGAATTTTAATGAAAGATATACACATTTCAGGAATTCTAAAAAGAGAAAACTTTTTTTGATGAATGAGTAAAGTGCATAAGGAATTTGGCTGAGTTTGAGTGGATACGAGTTTTATTGATCAATTGATACGAGGTTAATTCTCGTTTCTCCTTAACGGATTTTCTGCGGACGACTTTGACAAAAATGATTGAGGTAAAGTAGTGAACTTCCTTGTGAAGCCTCCCGAATCATGGGACGAACTGGCCCGGAGGAGGTCATCTTGAATTTTCCGGAAGGCCTGTCCTGAACACAACGGACCCATTTATCCGGAGAGACTACTTCGGGACTTCAAACCTGAGGTTGTACAGTCGGGGCGCTGATAAAGTTGACTGAATGCCAAACCGGGCAACCAAAGAAAGATGTCTGCTTTTTCGACGTGAAGAAGTACGAGATGAATTAGAGGCAGAAGAGAGGTTTCCATCCCTATCTGAGCCACCTGTGGGTGGGACGATCGCTGTGAGGACATTGTGCAGAACATCAACTTCCGGCCTTGTTGAGCGCTCTTGAGACTTTGGTGATTGGTTCAAGAAATTATTTTTTTCCCTAACAAACCATTCGGTTTTCAGCCTAAAAAGCATGCTTTGGTTTACTTTTCAACCTCAATGAAACTTATTTGTAAAAATCAAAATTGATAGGTGACAGGTGGAATTATCAACTTGCATTGGCCTCAAGAAAGGTTTTACGCATAATCGTGATTCACTGTAAAAGATTCAATATTTTGGTTTTTGCAGAGTTTAATAAAACTGCTTATAAAGTTGACATCAGTAAGTAATAACGGGAATAAAATGCTCTGGAAAGCAAAAAAATGATTAGGTGTCCATCAGTGCTCGGTCGTTCTAGCACCGCTTTGTCTGATATTTATCAGCGGTTTGCCAAATAGCTTGAAAACTCAAAATCTACTATTTTTGCTAATGACACGACGGTTTATACGACCAAATTTACTGAAGGTTTGGTTGCCACGAATAATGGCTGTTTGAATAAATGAAAACTGAAAAATGGAGCTTTTTAGTTTTTGGATAAAAATCAAGTCTGGACCAGTAAATTAGAAAAATGAATACATGTAGGTAAAAAGATATCTAAATTGATTCAAAAGCAAGTTTTAATGAGCATATTTCAAAATTATCTATTACAAAATCTGCATTGATTCGCGCGGTTAGCCTATAAAATAACTTCCTAACCTGTCTTTTTCATATTTAACGCCGACCAAAACTAATGAGAACTTTTTTTAAGATTTCAATTTTTCCAAGAAAAACAATTTTGACCGAGCAAATGGGCTCGGACAATTTTTTGCTTAAAAGTTTTTTGTCTTAATTTGGATAGAACTCGAAAGCTTCCCCGATACTTTCAACTGCTTTCAGAAAAAAATGTTGATATTTTTCAGTTTTCAGGCTAGATTACAGCAGTTAGTAGTATAGATATACGACACTGGGATGGTGGGGGTGATCCCTACAGGGATCATTGGGTATAGATTATACCTAATGATCCCTATGTAAATATTTATACCTAATGATCCCTATGTAAAAAAACTTAGACCTAATGATCCCTATGTAAAAAAATTGATACCTAATGATCCCTATCTAAAAAGTTTATTCCTATGATCCCTTTGTGTAATTTTTATAGCTAATGATCCCTTTGTAAAATATTTATACCTAATAATCCCTATGTATAATTTTTATAGCTAATGATCCCTATGTAAATATTTATACCTAATGATCCCTATGTAAAGTATTGATACCTAATGATCCCTGTGTAAAATATTTATACCTAATAATCCCTATGTAGAAAATTTCTACCTAATGATCCCTATGTAAAATATTTATACCTAATGATCCCTATGTAAAATATTTATACCTAATGATCCCTATGTATAAGTTTTATAGCTAATGATCCCTAGAAAACGTTTTTTCCTAATGATCCCAGTGTAAAATTTATACCTAATGATCCCTATGTATAATTTTTATAGCTAATGATCCCTATGTAAAATATTTATACCTAATGATCCCATTGTAAAACGTTTATTACTAATGATCCCTATGTAAATAATTATACCTAATGATCCCTATGAAAAATTGTTTTAACTAAGATCAATATGTAAAATATTTATACCTAATGATCCCTATGTATAATTTTTATAGCTAATGATCTCTTTGTAAACAATTATACCTAATGATCCCTATGTGAAAAATTTATACCTAATGATCCCTATGTGAAATATTTATACCCAATGATCTCTATGATTAACTTTCATAGCTAATGATCCCTTTATAAAAAAAAAATTTCCAATTTTTTTTTCAATTTTTTGAAATTCAAAATGAAATTTTTTTTCAAATTTTTTTTTCAATTTTCTTTTCAATCCATGTATAACTGCTGATCGCTATATAAATTGTCCCCTAAGTAAAACCAATGATCCCCATGTATAAATAATGATCCCGATGTATAATCAATGATCCCTATGTATTACCAATGATCCCTATGTCTAACCAATGATCCTCATGTAAAAATATTGATCCCTATCTATAACCATTGATCTCTATGTATGACCAGTGGTCCCAATGTACAACTATGGATACCTATGTATAACCAATGATACCTGAGTATAACTTATGACCACAGTGTAAAAGTATAAATCCTTTGTATATCTAATGATATCACGTAGAAACAATGATCTCAATGTTTAACCAATGATCTCTATGTACATTTGAAGATCCCTAGTTGAAGTTTATGATCATTGCTGTACCTAATAGTCCCTATGCGTAACCACGTAACCAATCACTCATTTATTTAGCCACTAATCCCCAACTAAATTTAACTAATGATCCAAAAATATACAAATTGATCCTCCCTAAGTGTCATATGATCCCACGTTAAAAGGAGAGTGAATTGAATAAGGGATAGAAACAGAGTAGATAGAGAAAGAGAGAGAGAGAGAGAGAGAGAGAGGGAGACAGATGGAGAGAGAAAGAAAGAAGAGAGAAAGAGAAAGAGAGAGAGAGAGAGAGAGAGAGACA